CATGGCCACGCGCCCGACCGCGTACGAGCTCCCGACCTTCAACGCGGGCGTGCGCTCGTGCGTCGGCCAGCAAGCCGCGCTGCTGCAGACCAAGCTCGTCGTCGCCACCCTCGTGCAGCGCTTCCACCTCGACGTGCTCTCGCCCAAGCGTCAAGACGGTCCTCTCTATGCGCTGGGCCTCGCGCTGCTTCCGCGAGGCGGCCTCCGCGTGCGTGCCCGGGCTCGTTCCCTTGGCCTTGCATAGACCTGGCGTCGGAGGGTTATTAAGCATATTTTTCTTTTCTACTGACTGCAAGGTAGACAACACGACGAGGCAACCACAAGCACCTAGGGACATGTTCCATGTCCTTGGCAGCATGCCTGCCCTCGCCGTTCGGTGGAGAGGAGGGACCAAGTGGTGCAGGGATCGGTCGATGGCAGACCTTATTGGGCTATATGATACACACGGGAAAGCAGTGTCAATGCACGTGTATGATGCAATGCACGTGTATGATCGTTAAGGTTGGTCGACAACCATCTTCTGCTGCTACTCGCGTCACCTGCAAGCGTCTTCTCGCACACCTAGAGCGGCGCCAACGACGCCACGTCGCTGGCCAACGGTCGGGAAATCCCTCACGTCGGCGCCGCCCGGTTCATGACCCACCGGGGTCCTAGTCCAGCTATTCTAAAAGTGGTGGGCCAAGGAGCCGCCTAAGAGCGGCCCTTGTACGGGGAGGTCCTTGACAAGACGATGCAAGCAAGCGCGGGAGCAGCACAAAGAGAGTCGAAGACGGCGCGAGACGAGCACGCAGCGCGCACGCACACGGTGGCGCTTACAGGCCAAACATGCCGCTGAGCGGAATGTCGGCCTGCTCCTTCGCAAACGTCTCAAAGTACTGGTAGATGATCGTGACGGCGAGCAAGATACCCGTGCCCGAGCCGATCGCGCCCAAAAAGTCGGCGACCATCGAGAGCGCGCCAATGCACATGCCGCCAAAGGCCGCGGCCGTCGGGATGTAGCGGTTGAGCACGTGCACGATCGACGCGTCGCGGTGGCCCTTCATGACCATCTGCTGGTCGCGGAGCTGCTTGGCCACGTCGCGGGCCGACGAGCCCGAGATTTCAATCCACGTCTTGGAGAAGAGCGCGCACGAACCGAGGATGAAGACGACGTAGATGACGGCGCGGATCGGGTCGTACAAGATCTGGGCCGCGCTCGACGGTGCCGACATGTAGTACGCCAGACCGCCGACGGGAATCGACTGGCCGCCGCCGCCTTCAACGTCCTGCCACTTGCCGAGGAGACCGACGAGGAAGTTGCCGCCAAACTTCTTGTAGAGGAGCTGCGACACAAAGTACAAGTTGGAGACAAGCGCCGTCTGCAAGATGATGGGCATGTTGGACGTGTAGAAGAGCTTGATCGGGTACGTGCCCTGCTGGCCGCGGTAGCGCTGGTACTTGACCGGGAGGTCGATGCGGAAGCCTTGGAAGTAGATGACGACGATGAAGACGAGGATCGTCGCGAGCAAGTTCGTCACGTTGGGCAAGTTCTGGCGGTAAAAGGCCTCCTTGAGCGCGCGCATCTTGTCCGAGCGGGTGATCAAAAGATGGAAGAGCGCAATGATCGCGCCCTCAAACTCCGTGCCACGGCCCGTGTTGATCGTCGTGGGGCTAAAGGCCTTCCAGACGATGCTTTCGCAAATGTTGGTCGCAATGAAGAGCGAGATGCCCGAGCCGAGGCCGTAGCCCTTCTGGAGCATTTCGTCCAAGATGATGACGAGGATGCCGGCAAAGAAGAGCTGGATGATGATCAAGATCGCGTTGCCAGCGCCAATCTCGCCAATGTCGCCATACATGCCCGAGGCCACGTACGCAATCGCTTGACCGACCGTGATGAGGATACCGAACAGCTTCTGCGCGCCGCTAAAGAGCGCGCGGTCTTCCTTCAAGCTCTGGTCGACTTCAATCATCTTGGAGCCGGCGAGCATTTGCATGACGAGGCCCGACGTGACAATCGGCGA